TGAAATAGTTTTCACCAGAACCTTTATTTTAGCCCTTGCCTTCTTTTTTTTTTTTATCTTTAGAAACAGTTTCTGAAGGTTTGGCCATTTTTATTACTTTATTCTTTTCAATACCTTTACTCTTTTCTTTGAACTGAATTTTTCAACTTTTTAATATATTTGATATATTTTTGGAATTTGAAATTATATTCGGTTTCAGCTTTAGACATAGGTTCAAATTGATATTCAAGTTCAGGCAAATATTTAAATTCAATTTATACATATTTTTTATTACTATAAAAAAAAATTTGATTGATAATATAATTTCAAATTAAATATTATTTCCAATTACTTATTAATTATTACTTAATAATATGAATATAATATGGTTTTTGAAAAATGTTTGAATTAAATACAAACACATATATAGTTTAGGTTGGTTTTGAGGTTCAAATATCAATTTTGTAGTTTTTACAACTACTATTGACTGTAATATCAATTTATACAGTTTTAGTTATTTATTTTTTATTTTTGGATATTAAATATATTTTTTTTGCTAATTTGATTTATTGGAAAATATTCTATTTATATGTTTCATTGTAATTAATTATGCTTTTAAATTGGCATTTGCTTTTTTTAATTTATTCATCTTTATATATAACTTTTCATTTTCTAAATAAATTAACAAATTAATAAAAGTAAGTTTTATGATTTAAAAATAATTTAAATTGTACTTTTTCTATTTCTTTTTAAGTTCAAGTCACAGATTTCAATTTAGGAGTCGATACTTATGCAACTTCAGTTATTAAGCTTTTAAGTAATATAAGAGATAGTCTCTTTTTAAGCAATTCAATTGTTATTACAAGAACTAAACCTTCAATATTAGATGTTTTTGCATGCTTTTCTAATATAACAAATGAAAATAATTGTTGAAATTGTAAAGAATATTCTAAAGGTTATGAAAATAATAAATATCGTGACTTTTTTTTATAAATATTTTGTTCAGATGGTTTTTCTTATTGTTTAAACATTTCAGCAAAAATTAATTTTGATTAAATTAAAAAAATATTTATATAAAATTTTATATATTGTTTTATTATATAATTTAATATTTATTATATTATTATTTGTATTATTTTATATTATTAAAATTTTTTATTTGATATTTTTATATAAAAAATTTGTCATTTGGTATTGTTATATTTGTTATTTAGTTTTATTAAATAAAAATTTATTGTATTATATTAAAATTTATATATTATAATATTAAGATTTATTAATATTTGACAATTTGGAGTTAAATAATAACCTTTGTTACTTTATGTTTAATATTTGTTAATTGAAATGGCAAAAAAGTATTTAATCTTAGCTTTACTTAATAAAAGTTCAAAAAAAAAATACAAAAAACAAAAGTTATTTGCAACTATAATAAATACAATAAATTATTTGTTAACCCATAAATAGAGTTTTTGCATAGATACCAAAAAGCTAAAACTAAAAACTCAGCAGATCAAGAATTTACTATTTGACAAAGAACTAAAAATATTTTGTTAAATTAAATTATAACTTTAAGCAATAATCAACAAAATTCAATACCAAATAATATTAATGCTAAAAATAACAAATTTGAATTTGAAGTTAAAAATAACAAATTTGAATCTGAAGTTGATAATGAATTTAATAGCAGTTTTGATAACATATTTGAAAATTATTTAGCTTTTAATTATGAAGTTCCATCACATTCTAATTAATTTGTTAATAACCATTTATATTGATTTTATTATGGATTATAAACTTTAAAATAAAATTTAGTTTGTCAAATACTGCAATAGAAGCACTTATAAAATTTATAAAGTTAGTATTAATTTAAAATCAGTAACAGCAAATTTGAACTTTTTTATGAATTATTATATATAATTAAAAAATTACTTGAATTATCAAATCAATTTGTTAATTTTGTAGCATATCAAAAATATTACAAATTATATAAACAAGATAATATACTAAGTTTTTGAAAAAACAATTGCTATCAATAATAAAGTACATTTATATCAAATTTCTAAATTTAATAATTTAATAAAGAATTTGCAATATTCTATTATCTACACAATTCAAATTACTAAATGAAAGTATTAACTAGTTAAAATTAATTTTTTTTTATACAACTATTTAATAATAATTATTTCAGATATATCAAAATTCAGTTTTGAATTTAATCTTAGGTATTAAGTAAATTGATCAAATACTAATGAATTGTTATATGATATTTATAATAACAATATTTGAAAAACTTTTAAAAATGAAAATCCTAGATTATTTTTTAATAAAAAAATAGCTGATTTGTATTTAAGATTGGTATTGAATATTGACTGGTTTCAATTATATGATAATAAAATACATAGTACTAATATTATATATATAATCATTGTCAATTTACCATATGATATATATAATCATTGCCAATTTACCATATGATATATATTTTAAGTATGAAAATATACTGATTTTTGACATATTATCAGGTTCTAATGAATCAAGCTTATACAAAATAAACTACTATTTTGTATCAATTGTTAATAAATTGATACAACTATGGCAATGAATAATGTTAGAATCAACTGCTGAAAATAAGAAAGGAAGAATAATTCAAGTAGCTTTAATTTTAATTTCATGTAATATTCCTGCAGTATATAAAGTTATGAACATATTTTGATACTACCATATACTACTGCATGCAATACTCCTCTCCAAATACTACCCCCATTAATAATATCAGGTAGTATTCAAGAAAATTGTTGCTTGATAATTGATTACTATCTGGATATATTAATATAATAATAAGTAAGACAATATTATTTTGAATTTTATAATAATAATATATTCTGCCACTAATACTACCCCCCTCCTAGTAAAATACCCTTCCAGATATTAATCAATTTATTAGAAGGTAAATTGATTAATACCTAGGGTATTGTATGCAATGGTATATGGTAATATCTTGTTACCATTGTAAAAAAAAAACTAACTATATAAATAATTAATATAATTTTGATGGTATAAAAAATATAAACAAATGGTTTATATCAATTAATTAAATAACATATATATGAAATATTACTAAATGAAGGAATTACAATATAAATATAATACAAAAATATTTTATCAATAAGAATCTTGCAAGATAATCTGAACTTTTTCATTTATTCTATTTTGATCCTATTTGATATTTGATTATTGATCCAATGCACTATTTTTTTTTAAGTATTGGTAAATGGTTTATTAAACAAATATGAATTGAAGAAGTAATATTAACAAATAATATATTAGATGAAATACAAGTAATAATAAAAAATTTTTAAGTATTATTTGATATTGATTGAATCTTAAGAAAAATAAACTATAGAGAAGACTTTTTAAACTTTATTGTTAACCAATAAAGAAATTTTTTCATAATATATATGATTATTGTTTTATAGAAATATCTTTTAGAAATTAATTATCAAATATTAATTAATTTTGTCAAAATATGTCAAATATTAGTATGTTGAATTGTAAAATGAAATTTATTAAACAAAGCTCATAAAAGACTAATAATAATGATTAAGTTAATTAAGTAAAAATATGATAAAGAAAAAAATTATATTGAACCTTTATCTTTTTTTATATCTATATAAATACATATGTAATTATAAGTTATTATATACTTTTTAGTGTTTTTTATTTGAACAAATGAATAGTTTATTAAGTAGATTTTTTTATAACTAATATTTATAAAATAATATTTTAACAAATTTTAAATTTAGAATTATTACCTAATAGAGTTCCGAAAAAATACTGAACTGGTATTGAACTGGTATCAAAATAGTACTGATCTATAGTAAATTTAATATATGAGTTGTGACCTACTTATATGTTTTTATAGTAAATTTAAGTATCGAACTGATATCAAAGTGGTATCAAAGTGGTATTATTAGGAGCCCTATTATTTAATAGTTATTAAAATATTGAACCCAAACTAATATAAAGATTAATAAATAATTATTGAATTATTTATCTAATTATATTCTATTATAATAATATAGGACTTGAAACCTTAAATAATTAATCAAATATTAGATCAATTTTATAATTGAATCAATTTTTAGCAAATAAACTATACTGATTCTTAAACAATACATATAATATTCAAAAAAACAATTATTAATGAATCTAAACAATTTTTTGATAAACTATTGCATCCTAAAAAATTAAATTTAATTATATCTTTTAAAATCTTATTATAGGCACTTTTTTTAAAAAACAAAAAGAATTTTTACAAATATTTTTTTATATAGTAATACATAACATTGGAGAAATTATATGAGAAACAAATCAAGAAATTTTAATTCAAAAATTAATAGAAGAAAGAATAGATATTATGAAACTTTGTGAAACAAAACTGATTTAAGAAAACTATCAACTTGTATTTAAAAAAAATCAAGATAAATAAAATACTTCTCAGGTGTCAATGCAATCAATTCCAGAAAGAATAATTAGAATTAAATTAAAATATATTATATAATATTAAATCTGAAAACCTGTTTTGTTATATTATAACTATAGATTATATTCATATTAGAGACCTTGATTCCAAATTGATATTTTGTTTATAAATTATTGTATGTTTGTTTTATGTACTGTATATTCTATATTGAACATTTACGTTTAATTTATTTGCTGTGGTTATGTTGAATATATTTTAGTTAAATATTTTTTATGGTAATTTTATGATGAATTTTAAAATAGAATAAATAGAAAATATAGTTGCATTTATGCAATAACGAGGTATGATACTTGGATTATTCAACATTCATTTAAATGTATCTTTTTCTATTTTTAATAAATTTGGATTTTCACTTGAAATACTTAAGCGAATTTGATTAGGATATTAGTTCGAAGGTTACAATTATTAGTTAACTCAAGTGTTTATTTCATTTCTTAATGAAATCATTTGAAAATTTTTTTTTTTTTTTAAAATGTTCTTATTCAATGATCAGATTATTTTCTGCATGCTCTGCTTCTGTGGTATTAACAATTTCTGTAGTACCGTTATTTTCGTTATCTTTTTTCTCTACATTAATGGTTTGATCTTTCATTTCCTTCTTATCAACTTCTTGATGTTGATCTCGTTCTACATTGGATACATTCTCATCTATTTCATCATCTTTAACTTTTTTTACGCCAGAAGCTATCAAAACATTTCTTGGCGTTGGCAAAAGGTCTTTGAGAATATCTAAAATTTTAGTTCGATCTATGATTTCAACTTGATT